CACCAGTCCACTAGCGGTGGCTGGGCGCTGGGAAAATAGAGTGAGGTCGACGGCCCAGCGCACCCTCCTCACGATAAACAATCCGAACCGTTTGAAGCTACCACGGTGCGTTAAAAGTCCTGGCGTGGAGGTTTGCCAACTGCCAGTTCGGTGTGCATTTGTGCGGATTGGCTGACTGGCGGACTGAGAGTCAAGCTGCAATGGCTCCTTCTTGATGTGGTTTTCATGACAGTCCCAGTCCGTGTGATGCCAACCAGGTCTGGCGGCACGCTGTCACTTAAAAGTAATCCACGCGTGAGTCACCGCGTTTGACTTCAGCTTGCTGAAACACGTGGCGAACATTTCGAAATCCAAAGTCGAAACGTCACCATGTATGTGTAGGCGGAGCAACTGTTAGCTATCTGTCCAGGAGGAACAATTGCGAAAAAGTGATTGGTGAAAGCTTCGATAGATGCAACCATGCGCAATTAGGACTTCGTTAAGAAGAATGTTTCATGGAATCGCCTCTTACGTTTACTTATTTATGATTACAGTGATCGGAAAGCTAGCGTCAATCGTCTTAGTTGCATCCACACGGCGAGATTCCCGAAAAGCCTGCGGAATCGATATATGTTTCGCATTCTGCTTATTATAAAAAGTGCATCTTTATCAACTGAGAAGGGTACTTCACGCTAAAATGTCAGCAAAATAATTTGACTGCATATGTGAGGAAGTGATAAAGACCTATATTGAGCGCATAAGAAAAAGACGGTTTAGAGATCTTCGGGTTTACCAGAAAGCCGTCTCCAGGTCGGTAAGCTTAAAACTGCTGGTCTAATTTTTCAGTCTCGAAGATACCATTCGAAATATCCAACAGATCAAATCTGCCTGCAAGATTAATGCAAATAGTGTTCAGAAATGGACAAAGGGTAGGGGCTTGAATGTGCTCTTCGAAAAAAATGTGTGTAGAGAGATAGAAAGACTATGATGATTTTGGAAAATACACCAAACGAAAGCAAAGCTGCGGTCTTCATGATCTTTTAACCCCGAAATTAGAATGGACACTTCGTTTACGTCAAAACTTGCCATCAGCATCCAAAAAACGACGATCATTTAAATAAGACATTAAAAATCAATCAGTCAAGTAATTTTCTCATCCATTAGTGACTAAGGAAGGCATAACTGAAGTTCAGTTTGGAAAGGCCGCTATTTCAGCATCGTTTGACCCAGTATTCAGTCGTAACACGTACAACAATTCCCAGTGATAACGACAGTTGAGATAGTACGGTGCTATTAAACAGATAGTGAACAATAAAAAATATACAAATCTCAACAGTGGATACACATATTCCATAACAGAGGAGTCGGCCAAATATAACACTTGAGTCTAGAGAAATAAACAACGCGTGTTCGATAACAACACACGGGTGCAGGAAGACACTTTAAAAAAACAGGCGCGACAGCTTTTCAAGGTCAATCGATGTGAATAAACAAAACGGGAAGGGGACAATGACATGTAGGTCAGATAGCATATCTTAGAAGATAGACGTGAAGAAAACCAAAATTGTTCAACCGAAGATAATTGCCGCCATTTTATAAAATGGTCGAATTCCAGATGTGCGAGCGAAACTTAGACCTCATGACGAGTAGGCAAAGGCGTATTCTTGCTGTTTAGACAAAGTAGTTGGTGTCGAATCCGGCCTCCTGTAACCGCCACCCACGCAGAGCGTGCAACCCACTCGACTTTCTTCTTAGGTACTTGCGCAACTGCGCTTGTCAGTGACGGTGAGGACATGACACACGTCATCCAACCACCAGCCCACCAGCAATGCATTTCCCTCTTCCACCGACGGAAGCTCCTCTTACAAGAAACTCCTGCAAACCCCCCTCCAAAAGGAATGTGATGTTTATCAGAGGCTGTGTGCTGCCGCCCTATGCGCTCCCTGTCCATGTTCCTCTGTGGGATGTCACTCTTATGGGACAACAACGCGATCACCTAACATGCTGGCATGCCTGCCTGCCAGTATATACACTAATTTATGTGCCAGGAAACTTTTCAACCAGTAGCCTAATAACCGGAATTAA